GCCAAAATCAAGAGTTGGATGTACAACTGACTGAGCCACCTGGGTGCCCCTAGGCAGATTTTCTTTTCTTTTCTTTTGTTTTTTTGATAAAAATGTTTAATGTTTATTTACTTTTGAGAGAGAGAGAGAGAGAGGCAGAGAGAGGGGGATACAGAGGATCCGAAGCAGGTTCCGTGCCGACAGCAGAGAGCCTGACGTGGGGCTCGAACTCACAAACCGTGAGGTCATGACCTGAGCCAAAGTTAGACGCTTAACTGAGTGAGTCACCCCACAGATGTTCAGCTGTGTGGAGGCTGGTGTCCCTATCCCCCACATTACCCAGGGTCAACCATAAATTGTGCACTGTGGTAAGGGAGAGGGGAGGGAAAAAGGAGAAAAAGGAGAACAGAAGAGAGCTGGTGAAGGGAAGAAAAGGGTAAAACAGAGAAAATGTGAGCCTAAGGGAGAGACAGAAGGTTTTAGTTGGCCCAGGACAATGTTCTGAGGTTGTATCCATGTAGTTGTATATAATAATATTTTGCTTATTTAAAAAAATTTTTTTTACATTTATTTATTTTTGAGAAACAGAGTGAGACAAAGCATGAGCCGGGGAGGGGCAGAGAGAGATGGAGACACAGAATCCGAAGCAGGGTCCAGGCTCTGAGCAAGTGGGTCAGCACAGAGCCTGATGGCGGGGCTCAAACCCACGAACTGTGAGATCATGACCTGAGCCGAAGTCGGAGGCTCAACCAACTGAGCCACCCAGGTGCTCCTATTTTTTTTTAAATAAGCTCCCTAAGTGGGGTTTGAACTCACAACCCTGTGATCAAGAGCCATGTGCACCGCTGACGGAGCCAGCCAGACACCCCAACATTTTGTTCATATTTACTGTTGAGTAGCATTTAGCTGTATTATAGATATGCTGCAACCTGTTTCTCCATTTATCCACTGATGGACATTTGCACTGTTTCTAGTTTGGGGCTACATGCATAAAGTGGCCACAAACATACGTGTCAAGTCTTTGTGGATGTGGGTTTTCATTTCTCTTGGGTCAATCAATACCTAAGATTAGAATAACACGGTCACATGGTAGGGGTGCAGCTGACATAATGAACCGCCAAATCACTTCGAAAGTGGTTTTACCATTGTACGTCCCTCCCGCTACGGCCTGGGAATTCTAGGCTGTTCCACATCCGACCCAAACTCTGTGTATTTTCAGTTGTTCTCCTTTGTAGCCATGTTGTGGCATCTCATTCCAGTCTGCATTGGCCTGGTGAGTAACGATGTCGAGGATGTTCTCTCGTGCCAGTCTACCATCCCCACAGCTTCTACAGTGAACTGTCATCCGTTCGTTGGCGTTTAATTGGCTCTTTTTCTCCCAAGCATCTTAAGGGAGAAGCTTATCAGATTGCTCATTTTAGACTTTCCATTTTTTCTAATATAAACATTTAATGCTAGTAACTTCCCTCCAAGCACTGCTCTATCTGCTTCCCTCAGATTTTGCTGTTCCAATTTTCATTCAGTTGAAAACATTTTCAAATTTCCCTTCTGACTGCTTTGACTCCTGGGTTATTTAGAAACGTGTTTGGTCTGCAAATACCTAGGGATTTCCCAACGATCCCTGTTACTGATCGTGAATTTAATTCTGCCGTGTCAAAGAACATACCCTGTAGGACTACAGTCCTTTTAAATATACTGGGACTAGTTTTATGGTCCAGAACACAATCTATCCTATCGCATGTTTCATATGCACTTAAAGAGAAGGTATATTCTGCCATGGTTGAGTTGAGCATTCTACAAATGTCAGTTAGCTTAAGCTGGGTTGGTAGTGTTGCTCAGGTTTCTACATACCCTGTCAAGTGCTGAGAATGGAGTGATGGAACCTCTAATTCTACTGGCTTATTTTTCTATTTGTCATCTCAGTCCTATAAGTTTTTGCATCAGGAATTCTGAAATGCTGTGATTAAGTACATACACATGTAGGTTTCCCAGGTCTTCCTGTTGAAATGACTACTTTATCATTAGAGATAGTCTTCTTTACCCCTGGTAATATTCCTTGTTCTCAAGTCCATTTGATGGTAATACCATCACCCCAGCTTTCTCACGACTAGTGTCTGTATGCTTTTGCATAGCTGTCTCCCTCCATCCTTTTAACCTCTCCATGTATTTATATCTGAAGGGCATCATATAATTATCTTATAGTTGGATCTTGTTTTCTTATCCAGTCCAACAAGGTCTGCTTGTGAATGTAGTATTTAGACCACTAACACTTATTCTAATTATCAGTATGGCTGGGTTTAACTCTACCATCTTGCCTTCTGTTCTCCATTAGTTTCGTTTGCTCTTTGCATTTTTTGTGGCTTCTCTTAGATTATTTAAAAATTCCATTTTATCCTCACTATGGTCTATTAGCTATACTTGCACTTAAAAAAATTATTGCTCTAGGCATTAACATATGTATCTTCAATAACTTAGTCTGTTTTCAAGTAACATACTAATAAAACGTTAAGACCCTCACAAAAGCATACATCCATTCCTGTCTTATGCACCACTATTGTCATATATTAACTTCCACATATATTATAAACTCTACAACATGGTATTACATTCTTTCACATACAACACTTTCCATCTGCTATCATTTTCATTTTGCTAGAAGAACTTCCTTTATTTTTTTTTCTGCAAATTTTTATTTAAATTCTAGTTGCTTAACATAGTGTAATACTGGCTTTAGGGGTAGAATTTAGTGATTCATCGTTTACACGTAACACCCAGTGCTCATTACAAATACCCTCCTTCATGCCCATCCCCCATCTCCCACCCCCCCCCTCCATCAACCCTTAGTGTGTTCTCAATCATTAAGAGTCTCTTATGGTTTGCTTCCCTCTCTCTCTTTTCCCTTCCCATACGTTCATCGGTTTTCTTTCCTAAATTCCACATGAGTGAAATCATACGGCATTTGACTTTCCCTGACTGACTTATTTCACTTAGCATAATATACTCTAGCTCCTTCCCTGCTGTTACCAATTATAAGATTTCATTCTTTCTGGTGGCTGAGTAATAATCCATTGTGTCTGGGTGTGTGTATGTATGTGTATCATCGTACACATACATACACAAACACCTTTAATCCATTCTTCAATTGATGGGGCACTTCGGCTCTTTCCATAGTTTGGCTATTGTTGACAATGCTGCTAATAAACATCAGGGTGCATGCACCCCTTAGAACCTGTATTTTTATATCTTTTGGATAAATACTTAGTAGTGCAATTGGATTGTATGGTAGTTCCATTTTAACATTGTTGAGGAACCTCCATACTGTTTTCCAGAGTGGCTGCACCAATTTGCATTCCCACCAACAGTGTTAAGAGGGTTCCCCTTTCTCCATATCTTCACCAACATCTGTTGTTTCCTGTGTTGTTAAATGTTAGCCATTCTGACAGGTGTGAGGTAGTTTCTCAATGTGGTTTTGATTTGTGTTTCTCTGATGATGAGTGATGTTGAGCATCTTTGCAGGTGTCTGTTAGCCATCTGGATGTCTTCTTTGGAAAACT